GTAAGAAAGGGATTGACAATGTTCTCATTCTAAAGGAAAGGAACTTGTCTTTAGATTTTCTAAAAAGAGAGGAAAAGAAGGTGATATGACTATCAAACTTGACTTGGAGAAGGCCTATGATAGGTTAAAATGAAGCTTTGTTAAAGAAGTTCTAATATTCTTTAACTTTCCACCTATCTTGATTTCTATTATCATGTCATGTCTATATTTGACTGATTTTGCTACTATGATCAATGAGAGAACTTCTTATGGTTTCCAAACTTTTAGCGGTCTTCGATAATGTGATCCACTTTCTCCTTATTTATTCATGCTTTATGTTGAGTTCTTCTCTATGAAGTTGTAAGGTGACTCTAATACGGGAGGATGGAAAGGGACTAACTTAGGGAAACGCGTTCCTACTATCTCTTATCTCTTCTTTGCTGATGATTTAATATTCATTGGTAAAGCTAGTTTGAGTAATGCTACCTATCTTGATAGCTTTCTAGCTTTCTTTTGTCAAAGATCTAGGCAAAAGATCAACTTAAGCAAATCAAAGATTCTTTTCTCTCAAAATGTGCCAATTAAGGCCGAAATCAACATTTGTGCCAAGCTTAATATCTCTAAAACTCAATCACTTGGCAAATATATGGGTTTTCCTATTACCCCCAAAAGATTATCTAAAGCTAATTACTCTTTCATTGTTGACAAAGTGAGAAGCAAGTTAACAATGAAAGAACAATTAGCTTTAGATAATCTTTTGGGGGTAATAGGAAAACCCATATATTTGCCAAGTGATTATCTAAAGCTAATTACTCTTTCATTGTTGACAAAGTGAGAAGCAAGTTAACTGATTAGAAAGCTAATATGCTTTCTAAAGCTAGTAGAGTCACTCTTGCCTCCTCGATCTTGTTTGCCATTCCTAACTATTATATGTTGGGTACCTATCTCCCCAAGTCTATTCATAAGGAGTTGGATAGTCTTACCAGGCAATTTATTTGGGGGACAACCAGTGAGAAAAGGAAGGCCCATCTTATTTCTTGGGAAAGAATTACTCAACCTAAGAAATAGGGTGGTCTTAGCTTATGTTCCTCTAAAGAAGCTAACCAAGACTTGATGGCCAAAGTTCAATGGAGAATGCTCTCAGAGAAAGATAGATTGTGGTCTAAAGCGTTTTGTGAGAAATATAAGATTCAAGACCCTAGAAGTAATTTCAAAAAAGCCTCTCCTATTATGCATAATATTGCCAAAGGTAATCACAGCCTTATGAAGGGTGTTAAATGGATTTTGCATTCAAGTGATACGGTACTATTTTGGACTGATATTCGGATTTGGTAATAGACCCCTCACAAATTTGTTGTTTGGCTCGTTTACTCCTAATAGCCTTAACCAAAAAATTAAGGATGTCTTTCTACCTTCTAGACAATGGGAATGGGAAAAGATTGCTTATCCTCTTCCAATTGAGCTTAAACAACAAATCATGGCTATCCCTATGCAAATTGTTGCTCCAGGGTAGGATAGTTATTCTTGGGGGTCCTTCACCTAATGGTCTTTTTTAGGTTAAGTCTACCTAGTTTGTGGCTAAGAATATTTCTCTTAGTCAGAAGGACTCTTGGTCTTTGGTATGGTCCCTTAACACTGTACCAAGGATCCAACATTTTATTTGGCAACTGGGACATCAAAGGCTTCTAACTAGACATACTCTTTATGGTTGGGGGGTTGGAGATTCTAATTTATGTGCATTATATGGTGGAGCTCCTAAAACTTTTGA